AGCCGGATTTGCTCCTTTCTTGATGATTCTATGGATAAACTGCCCAGAAAGCCTCCCAGACCTCTGCCCACTCTCAGCACATAACTACCGTCCCTCTTAGCAAAATGCCTCAAATGATCAACTCCACTGTCTGACACTCGTAACTTCCATACCTATCTTCTTAGTCCCTCCAACAGTCTTAGAGACTTCAGTGACTTCTTACTTAAGCCAACCCCGTCTTTCGTGTTTTGAGTCTATACTTTCCGACTGCAAATAAGTCTATACTTTCCGACAGGCATGGGTTGGTGTCCAGAAAAGCCTGGGTCGCGGGAGGGACTCTCTAAATATCCGTGGGATGTGAAATGCTCTCACAAACTGCAAATACCAGAAGGCGGAGAGACAAAAGCACAGGCCCACTGATTTGCCCCCAACTGCCATCCCGACCCCACCCGCACACGCATGTGGGAGTCTTAGCGGACGCCCCACAGCCCGCGCACGCGGCCGTGAGCCCGCCCGGACGTCCCTCAGCCCTCAGCGTCCGACCCCATTGGTCCCCGCCCCTCAGCCCTCGAGCCCCGCCTCCGGCCGCCGAGGTCCTGCGCTAAGGAGCAGTCCTCCCAGCCCTGCGACAGACACGCTTCCTCCCGCACCGCTGAGGCTCCTTCCTCTCGGATACCAGACAGGCTGGCCTACAAGCGCATTTGGGGGACTTTTTGGAGACGATGAGTACCAACAGAATTGAGTCCAGCAGAAGACACCTGCCTGTAAAGCGTATTATCAATTATTAAAAACAACTGGTGTTCTTGTCCGCGGTACTGTTGGAGAGTGGAGTGACTGACGATTCCCAGGGCTGGGAGACCAGGGCGTGGGAAAGACGCCCGGGGGCTTGGGAAGGGGCTCGAGCTCGGTCCCGGGGCTCCTGAAATGGGCTTCCACTGTCCAGTCGGCCACTGCCCTCAAGCTACCTTCCTCCTCCCCGTCTGTGCATTCGTGCTGGCTCAGCGCTTCGGGGAGAGGGAGAGGTGGGCGCCAGGCTGCATGGCCGCCCTGCCTTGGAGACACCAAGCCCTCTCCTGGTCCGCAGCGCTGACGCCGTTGGGCTGTTGAGACGCCGCGAGTGTCCGCGAGTGCCGCGCCCAGTGCAGGTGCTTCACGTCCCAGGCGGCCAGCGAGTGGTTGACGACGGTGTCCACCTGCCCTGCTGAGGCTGCTCGCTTTCTCATGTGATCGCCAGAATCGTCCCCGCCCCTTCCCACTGGGCTTTTACTGGGGTTCACCCAGGCAAGTCTTTTTGACATAGCTTCATTCCAAAAGCTGAGGGGTGCGGTGAAGAGGAAGTTATTGCGGAAGTGACTTGTCTTTTTTATTATTATTAATTTTGAAATGGGGTTTCACCATGTTGGCCAGGATGGTCTTGAACTCCTGACCTCGTGATCCGCTCATCTTGGCCTCCCAAAGTGCTGGGATTACAGGCGTGAGCTACCGTGCCTGGCCTTTTTTTATTTTTTATTTTTAGAAACTCGATGTTTATTTTCCATGAATCTTATATGTTGTTTAAGAGCCCACACAAGAACAGCTTAAGACCATTCAGTGGCTGCTCCTACCCATTCAGTGGCCTGAGCAGTGGGAGCTGCAGACCAGTCTTCCGTGGCAGGCTGGGCACTCCAGTCTTCAGTAGGGAACTGCTGGATAGGCACAGAGGGCACCTGCCCGCCTTCAGACCAGTCGGCAATCTCAGGCTGAGTAGCAGTGAACTCAGGAGCTGGAGCAGTCCATTTGTCCTGAAATTCCTCCTTGGTCACAGCCATTTCAGCAGCAGCCTGCTCTTCTTTTTCAGTCTCTTCCGGATCTCTGTAGAAGTAGAGATCAGGCATGACCTCCCACGGGTGTTCACGGGAAATGGTGCCATGCATGCACAAAACTTCCCAAGCCAGCATCCACCACATCAAACCCACTGAGTGAGCTCCCTTGTTGTTGCATGGGATGGCAATGTCCACATAGCACAGAGGCAAAACTATGTTACACAGAGCAATGGTAGGTAGGTTAACATAAGACACCTCCGTGAGAGGCTGGTGGTCAGCCCTTGGATCAGTAACCACAAGCAGCCGTGGCTCCCAGAAGGCTGCCTGGATCTGGTTGGTGAAGGTTCCAGGAGTAAAGCGGCCAGCAATTGGAGTGGCTCCCGTGGCAGCAGCAAACTTCAGCACGGCCCTCTGGCCAGTATTCCTGGAGGATCTAACACTGACATCAGCAGGGTTTTAAATGGCTACAATGGCACGAGCTGCCAGAAGCTGCTTCTTCCAGGTCCTCTTCAGATTTATGATGTAGATGCCATCATTTTTCCTTTTATAGATATACTGTTCCATCTGGAAGTCAAGGTTGATGCCACCTAAATGGGTTCCTGCTGCCAGGAACTTAAGGACATCCTCTTCCTTCATTTGCAGGACATCAAGAGCTCCAGACATTGTGAAAGTTTCCCTTTAAGTTACAATGGGAATCCAGAACAACGCCATTTGGAGCCCTTGGCAGGTAGCTCAGAAAGCTTTTTTTTTTTTTTTTTTTTTAAGGTAAAGGTTTAATTTTGGGAACAGCGATCAGAGGAAGGGTTTCAGAAGATCCATGAATTCTCTGAAACTGCCGGGCAAAGCTTTCCTGGTTCTCAAAGATTATTGACGTAGCAGCATTAAGAACCTGGCATCCGCCAGGAATCAGAACACTTGTAAAAATTGAATGGTAAACAATATCAGCAGTACCCACTGCCACCCTGACATTTCCATAATAAGGTGATTTTTTTTTTTTTTTTTTTTTTT